TATGCATCTTTTCCAGTGGATATTCCCAGGCCTTTTTGTTTTTCTTGGTATCCTAATGAGGCTGTTTGGTTTAGGGCAGGGCCAAACAGATAAACCCTGACTTTCCAGAAAACATATTGGGGTTTTTTTGATCAGCTTTATCTCTCACTCTTTCAAACTCTTCAACATTCAGGAGGGAAGACTTCTTCCAAAGCAAGTGAAAGATGGCACAAGTGATCAGCTTAAGCTTGTAACTTCCTGCACCAACAAGTAGGGACAAGTTCACTAATGTTCTTCGCAGAATAGGATGGTTTGAAGATTTTCCACAGTTACCTTCCATATGCATCTCTGACCAGTGTTTAGAAGTGCATTACAGAACTCCAGGCACAGCCTTTGGGGGTAGGGTATAAAATGGAACTGCAGAAGTTCATTTCCTATTTAGGGCTCAATGTAGAGTGAAATTGGTGATCAAAACAGAGGCTCCATCAAAGCCCGGTGCAGGGAATTTGCACTAAGGTCAGCTTCTTCATGAACCTGTATCTGACTTAAGCACCAACCTCTCCAGCAGCCCTAGACCCAAAACATCACGTTTTCTATGACGTTTACTTAGCATCAGACACAAAATCCATCAAGGAAGACACATCAGATGCCCACAGGAAGTTAGGTTTCTTTAGGATGCCAAGTTAGAGATAAAACCTCTCTATCCAGATAAGGGAGAAAGTGACATCTCTGAACACAAATGAAATCCCCACTGGTACCACCAAAATTAGCACTCTATATTGACACAGTCAAGTGCCATATATACTCAAGCATGTAATTCCCACTTGAGACCAACTGTTGTCAAACTTGGCTCCAACTTCCGCATTCCTCACTACAGCTGGGCTGAAATTAGTCCTGTATCTCTTGGAAACAGAGTCAGTTTGAAGTATCTAATTTTCATTCTGACTTCCAAGCTCAAAACCCATTTCTGTCTCACGCTCAAGGCCAAACTCAGGCATGAGAATTTACACTGCAGAACACTTAAGAAGAGCCTGAAGAAAGGTTTAAAATGGAATTCTTACATGGATGTGGACAATATCCAGATACTAGTATTTTTATGAAGTAAGGGCAGATCAGAAACCCAATAAAGAACCAAAGAAAAACAACAGTAAAAAGAGAAGAGTAAGCTTATAATAAAACAAATGAGTTGTGCTAGAAGAGAACACCGTGCACTAGCAATTCAAAAACACCTTCTCTACGTTTATAGGGACTTTACCATATTAGGAGTTTTGCTATTTCAGTTTTTAAGAGAAACTATCAAAAAGGGAACATGTTCTTTAAAAATACTCTCAAAGTTTATCAGCATAAGCTTTACTGTCTTACAGCTGTGAAGTACTTGCCTGAAACATATGTGAGTATCATGCATTTCAGGCATCTAGAAGTTTTAGATAACATCCATTCACATTAGAATTTGTTTCAAAGAAACTGTGACCTTTACAAAGTCCCTTGTGCACCTAATCAAAGCTCCAAGATTTCTGCTATAAAAGTCCTTACTGCAGCTTTCCATATACCCAAGTTCCAATTCATCCAGTATCATCCAAGACAGTCAACTGCTCAAAACTCCTTACCTCCATCATTTCAAAAATACTCTCAGGATCCAGGCTACCTTTCCCCACTTTCTTCATAGAAGTGAGGGCACCTTTACTGGTCACAGAAATAAGCAGGCTTGCCAAAGAACAGGCTTCTTCCTGAAGGGTAGCATCCACCACATGCCTATATCCAATCTGTTAGTGACAAAATGATGTATCAGTTCGCAGTTTTCTAAGGGCTTCCATTAAGAAGTTAACCTGTGAGTGGCAGCTTTGTTAGTTACCTCAGTCTCCCATCCTAATATCATGTGGCCTTTTTAAGTGGTCTGAGACTGACTTGATAGCATGGTATTTAAACAGCCTCTGACCCCAAATTGTGTACGTTACACAACAGAGGTGAGATAAACATGTCACTATTTCATACTGTTTTCCTCTCTACCATCCTTTAATCTGTATGAAACTCCCTATTCCTCTTTCCCCCCTCAACTCCAAGCATGGACTTTGCTACCCTCTAGGTGAAAATTACACATCCCGAGACTCAGGTGAGCCCTCACTTCAGCAATGGCCTCTGCTATTTATGCAACTTGCTGAAAAGAAATGCCACATAAACTTTCAGGTAACTAAGCAAATCACTACCACTTGCAATGGAACTTGCAGCATCCATAAAATCAACTGTGTTGGCTGTGTGCTATATATGGAAAACCTGTTTGAAAGGGAAGGCACAGTACTGCACCCCTGAAAATGGAGTTCTGTCCCCAGCAACAAATACTCATCATGTAATTCCAGGCAGATGCCACAACTTTTGCACCTCACAACAATGGCCACTTGTTCTAACACACTGAAGTATCTGCTGCTACAGATGTTAAGCAAGGAGCAGATAAAAACCAGTAAACAATTCCTCTGAATGCAAGAAGATGCATTTTAAGAGCACATCAAATAGAAACCTACAAGTCAGAGATGCAAAAAACCCCCTTATTCAATAGAAGTTCTTCTTAATTAGGAGGCAAAAGACAAACAAATATCTACATAGTGGACACTGACCATTTCTGTAACACAATTTTTATCTCTAGGGAAATAATAACTGGCAGGTGAAACTAATAGAAACTGAAGTTTCTAGGTAGAGGGTCAGAAATTTGTCATGCTTACTTTGCTTAGCGTGACAATACAGGGCACTTCCTCTACATTAAGTCGAATACAATCATAAGGGTCATCAGACAGCTCAATCTCTTTGGTGCCTTCTTCATCCTCCAGAACACGCACTTTGGGTATTCTGTGGAAACAAAATGTGCAAAATCATTGCCAGAACAGATAACAAATAAAGCTGCTATACAGTCACAACTCCATGAAGTGCTTTTTCTTCTAAATGAGGCAAAATGTTTAGAAAAAAAGTCCAGAATGTGATCAAAGTATTAACAACTCACTCCCCAAGACTAGGAAGAAAACATTGTAAGTTCGAAGACATTTAGGATGAGATCATCATATTTACATCATTCGAACCATTAGAATCTGAGTTGTTTTTTACACTATTATATGGGGAGAGATTCTTTTGGAATTTGCACAAATCAGTTCTGAACAATTCTTTGTACTTCTGCTGGATGTATAGGAGAGAAATTACCAAGACTGAATCCTTTCGTACAGTGGCTCTCAACTTTGCAAACAACAGTAAAGTTGACAGAATTAGAGTAATTACATTGCTTGGCAAAGCTGTGACATCAGTAGCAAATACAAGTAGTAAAGCCCTTCAGGAAAGAGCAACACTAATTAAGGAAGACTTGGGGTAAAGAGAAAGACAACATCAGTAAAATCCTTTCTCTTTAGCAAGATGGGAAGATTGGCAGGATATTCTCATTCTTTAAGAAGCCAGAAGACTCTACTGTTCTAAGGACAGATATACAAGGGATATATAAAATATAAGGACAGGGCAGGAATAAAAACCCAGGCAGAAATCCAAGAAACGCTTTCTTCTCAGTAGCGAATGATGAACTCTCTCACAAATGAACTAAGACAGGCTCCTTATCAGTGGCAAATATATTGTATTTGTGATAGACATTTAATGGGAATTTCATGGCATGACTTTAGGCACTTTTCTTAGCATAATGAATAAAATAATTTAAAACAATTTAGTAGAAGATGGTACCTCAAGCTGCCAAGAACATCAGCATCTTATATACCCTCATTTATCCAGGTGCCTGTTAGGATGGAGTACTGACTGACAGACTTCGCATTACTGGCCAGTAAAACCCCCACACAGCTCCCATATTACTTTTTTTTTTCTTTTCCACACATTTGCACTTGAAAACAAAATATTTCAAGACGTCCCCTGACAGCTAACTTCAGTAACCACAATCTGGTTTTATATTAGTACTTTTACAGTAGCACTGTGCTCATAACTAGACTCTGGAGGTTACATTCTTTTATGCCGTCTGTAAGAAACCTCTTCTTTTGAAGGAGGAGGAGATAGGGACTGATTTAATGAACATTTCCCCCACCAATACAAAGTGACTTTTTATTGTTCCCTGGAAGAGTATGTTAGTTATTTGTGGCTAAAAGTCCTAGTGGCGAGTACTTCACAGCAGCTAACCCTGCTCCAGTGACAACAAATTCCCTACAAGCACAGTGGCCTGGACCAAGCCAAAACTAAGACTTTGAGTAAGCAGAACAATTGTGAAGTGTACTTTTTCCTGAAACAAAACTCCAAATGCTTTTCCAACCCATTAGAAATGCCTCAAAGCCTATTTTCAAGTTTAAAATATTCCATTAAAAATTGATGGAATAAAGTCACAAGGTGACTGATCCTCAAGCTACGCAGGACAAGGACAACACTGGAAAACAGCCTAGTCAAGAGGTTTATGTGCCAAAGCAGTGTTAAAAAACAAAGAAAGATTTCAGGAAAATCTGTGAGATTAAGCAATTTTTAATTCCATTCTAAAATAGCCATGAAACCAGAGCAATGTTTGGTCTGCAAGAAAAAGTTTCCAGAATTAATACCTGAAAAACGCCTGCAAGGAGCTTTTTTGGCCAAGCACGGATGAAAGAGGTGTAAATTAGAACAATTGCAAAGGCAAAAAGATCAGACACAAGAATCATAGTTGCATAAAAAAGGGGGTATATGGACACAAAAACTAGGAAAAGTGAATGTAGCAAAAGCATTTCCAGAACACTGGAGATTTCCTCTCCCAGCTTGTGAATATTTGTCTTAAGAATTAGCATGTTTACTTTGCAACTTTCATTTTTCTATTTTGATTCCTGTAACTAATCAGGGCAGAAATCTGTACAGCAAGACTCAGTCAAGGAACAAACAACGCTCTTTCCTATGTGCTGCAGACCCAGATTTCACAACTGCAAAACCAGTTCCACCCTTGCAAGCAGGCATCAGTTCTGCCTCTACCATGCTGTTCAGCAAAAAACCTCGATATTGGCAAAGCTGTTGTGTTATAAACTCTTTAGTTTTTGTAACTTGCCTAGTTTCTGCAGTCTCTGTGGCAAGTAGACACATTTCACAGAACCAAGTTTAATGTCCTGACACAGTAGCTAATATTGCATATTTTGCAATATCTACTTCCATCATGAATAAATCCATCCTTAAACACCTTGGAGACAGGGGTAAGAAGTAAGTTTGAGGCCTGCTATCTTTTGCACATGATCTTGATATAGTTTTTAGAACATGATGAACAATACAAACTTGCAAGGAGTAAATGTTCCCCCTAAAACAGTCATATTGTCATTGTTCCATGCCTGAAGGGGATATAATGAATCACGTCAGGCATTCAAAGGATTTAAATCCTGCCAGTCTTGCCTAAAATTCCTTAAATTATGATTTTGGATTTACTTAGCTCTAAAGAAAAATGTGTCCATAGCTATTATAGAAATGCTCAGAGCAAGATTTTGAAGATGAAGTTGAAGTTTTCAAATGCCTATCTGAATATCTAAAATTTTGTAGCTTCCAAGAAAAACAGCAGCTTGAGCTCTCTGCTCTTTGTTTCAAGGCTGCAGTCAAGGCTGGCAAAGATCTGGAAACAGTTCTAACAAAAACCTGGTTGTAAACAAAGTATGAAAAGCAAGTAAGACTTAAAGAGGGACACATGTCAAGCAAAGTTCAGAACACTTAATCTGAAGCAATTTTCAAACTGACATCTTGTCTTGTTTGGACAATAAGATTTTATGGAGAATGGGAAGCTACTCTTAAACAGCCTTGGGTCGATCCAAAGAAAACTTAGTAGCTACCAAGAGAAAGTGAGAGGAATAGCGAAGGAGGACAACAGGTTTTCACTTTGAATTTCACCTCTTGACTTTCTGATCTTTTATGAGATTAGATGTATGGCTCAACTCAGTAAGACAAGGTTTTCACAGGTAAAAAATCAACAGGTTCTCCATTATGTCATATTGTACCACATTTTGATACAATACCCAACTTTAACAGGACTCTGGATGTTTTCCATAGATTACAGATTATATAAAGGACACAAGTTGTCAGAAAAATCAAAATAAAGCAGAATCATTAGAATAATTACACCCTCCATGTTGCCCATGTTCCCAAAGCAACATTTTCTTCTACTTGCTTATTTAATTCATTACTTTTTATATGATCGTCTCTGTTTATTCTGGTTAAAATAAGAAAAAAGACCCAGTTATCTTATAAATAAAGTATGTGCCTTGCATCTGCAAAACAACTTACGTGGTAGTAACTGTTTTAACTATACAACTTTTGCATCCAGGCAGAAACACAGCACTTCTTCCCTTTAGAGTACTGCCAACTCCTTTGCGAGCCATTATATTTGTGACAGTATTTCTTAATATTATAAAAACAATCTACTGTTAAAAGTTACTGTTGAGAATTTGATTAACATGGGAAATTTCTCAGCAATATATACAAGTTCTAGTCTCAAATGGATTCTTCCCTCATCCCCTTTTAAAGTGTTTATAACCTGATATACTGCCTGTCTTCAAAAACGTATTTTCCTCTTCTTTTTGCACATACTTTTCCAGATCTAGTGCATTGATTCCCTGACAAATAAGCCAGAACTACACTAGTGGCTTTAGCAGATCTCTAATTTAATGCTGAAGAACAATTTGAAATCCACTTTTAAAACATTTATGCTTATAAGAGTCTAACTTTTGCACCTCTTCCCGCTATTGTTGCCACCTAAGTTTTTTGGCAAAGCCATTCACTAGCTTTTTTTCTCAAGGGTGCTACAAAACTCTGTACTGCCTTCCACCTACAGATAAAGAAGATAAAAACAATAGAAAAAATACAAGCAAAACATACCATTAAAAACCACACAGAGAATTTCCATCATTCATTCTACTAGATTTTGTTTTTCCATTCTTTGAATTAAAATGCATGGGTCAAAGTTCTTTTAAAGACACATTGTTTCCCCCTCCCCACAATTTCTCACTACCACTATTTTCTTCTTAGTTTTAAAAAGAACTCTAGACTAAAAATTAATGAGAACGAAATCAGAAGAGAAACATCAAGGCTAGTTATAAATCACTAGTCACATTGACAGAGGGCTTCTTAATCAAGAGCATCACATATCAGTAAGTACTTCTTCAAACCCACAAGGCATCAACACAAAGTCCTCCAACTACCTGCAACAAAATCTCACGGTCAAACAATTTTTTCTGGATTGGGCTACAGAACAGAAGTTATACTGTGAACCTGACTGTGCATACAATCACAATGCAATATGACACTTGATTATTAGAAACTGAACTAAATATTAGTTCATACGACTTGCATGAAAACGGACTGCCTTGTATCTGAAGGCAAGCTGCTTTGGGTATTTCTTATTTAAATAACTAAGCATTAAAAATGCTTTGCTCACAGAGAGTACTTCTCTTCCATTTCCCATGCCACTTTCACTCACATGAAATGAGATTTGTGCTTTACCTTGTGTTAAAGAGAGCTGCCTTCACTGCGATAGAGATTGCATCAAAGATGTTCCCACCACATTCCAATAACTGAGGAGGAAAAGAAGAATCTCTTTAAAAGAAAATTGGACTAGTGCCTTTAAATGAAGTCTTTATTTTATTTAAACCTACTTGAAAAGGAGGAAAATTAATAACCAGAACAGGTTTTTAAAAAACAAAGTTGTCTTTAAAGCCCATCCATGAAAAGAAACAGATAGGAAATTAAGATTTTGGCTAACTGTATTATACATGCAAAATAGAAGAGTTAATATACTCCGTAATAAAATTAATGATAAAATTTAATAATAGAACCTGAAATGAAATCACCTCTGTTCTTAATCTTCTTGTGCTAAGGCTCTGAACTAGACTATGACCAGAATTCTCTTTATAAACCCATCACATTCATTCTTTAATATTAAATCAAACCAGTCAATTTTTTATACTTTATTTCAAAGAGGAGCCTTTTTAAAATATCAACTGGACAAAACCAACTGGGAGAATTGCTTTTAAAGAAGCAATGCAAACTGTCACTGAGAACACAGTATGAAAAGGTAGTTACAGAAGTTATAGTTATGAAGGCACACTATGATTTATTCTTCTTAAGGAAAAGAGTCATCATCAGGTTTGTCTTGTAGCTGAAAATGATCCAAGGAAATCCTGATGTCAAAGTCTAATTCAAACATCAGTGTTATCAAACAAGTGAAGAGGAGTCTAGCTTAGCTTCTTCCCATGAAGATCAGGAGAACAACAGTCAAAGAGAACAGCAGCACGGCATACTAGGCAAAAAGGCAGGGCTCCCAAAACCACAATACCTTCTATAGGCTGCCAGACAACTCCACAGCTTATTGTTAGTTCTCTGACAAGCTCCGCTCTCAGCTGCTAGTACTGTTCTGTGAGAGCACACACACACAAAGGCACACACACAGAGTAAGCATTTGAAACTACTTCGGCAAGAACATATGGTTGCTTCTCCATAACATCAATCTCTGCTGTATGATGAGAGCAAAACAAGTTTTGCAACACTGATTGCATTGATTGTTCTTCAAAATCTATTTAAAAATGAGATAAACTCCTGCACTGGGACTAAATCATAAATCAGATATTCTGTAAAGACAGTTTCTTTATGAAGACAGACTGAATAGCGTAAAAAGAATGACAAAAAGTTGGAATAGAAAGCTAAATACAAAGGTGATTAGATTATTTCTTCGCAAACAGCTGCTGGATACAGAGAGGTTAACCTGCCACTTTCAGTCATTATTGGATTTTACTGGATAACACAATAAGCCCCACAATGTCTTTGTTATTAAAACACAATAATGGGATATGTCTGCACTGTTGCTAGGCTTGTGCTCAGGCTGCTATTCTAAAACCTTATCTGTACTACAGTGGTGCCTACAGGCTAGGAACACAACCTGTAACAAGCATGATGCCAGAATTCCTCCACACAGAACTGAACACTTTTCTCAGCTGAAGCACCTTGTACTGCGATATCCCCTGCTGTTTATTTATTTATTTAATTATAGAAATAAGAAAGTCTGCACAACTGTGAGTTATGGGAAGCAAAGGATTCTTTAGAAAGGACTGCTTTTAATTAACTGATGTACAAATAAAAAAGTTATTGGCAAAAATAGATAAAATGTTGTAGACCTTGCCTTATTCAAAGAAGCTTTTCTTCCAAAAGGACAGATTCCTAACTTTTTTTTTTGTTCTCAAACTTGGGAGGAATAGAAAACATGAAGAAATCCTGAGAGGTGCTCAGGAGTGAACTGCTAAAATTTCAACAGAACCTACTGCACCCCTTTCCCCCAACACACTATCTACTGAGTAGGGAATGATAAGAGATTGCTCACTTTGATTTTCCTTGCTCAGCATGGCAGACTGCTGGGCCAAATTATGTGGAGAAGGCTATACATATATCAAAAACACACTCAAAAATGCCAAAATCTTATTTCTGACATCAATGGCTTAGAAAGAGAAATAAATCAAGGGAAACAGAGAGAGAGTGAGAACAAGCTTACAGTTTTGTGATATTGTTCTCCACATTCACGAATTACTATTTGGAAGTGGAATGCCTTACATTATTAAGAAAGAATGCATCTATTTTGAAAGGTCAAGGTACATATTCTTGACCTTTGTCACATATCTCAATATGGCCATATTTCTGCTTCTTTGTGTTGTGTATGATTGAAATTATTTTCTTTCCAGTCTGACTGTACACAATTATAGCAAGTCTCAAGTACACTGACCACTAGAAAATATTTGAGAGATGTTTTTAATTGATAAGCTGCACAACTTTGCAAAACACACCATTTTCTCTTTTGAGGTTGCATATGTCAAATATGCTTCAGTCAAAGTGCACATGGCTAAACTGCATAGCGTGAAACTTCCAGGTTCATAAAATTTTTTGGGGGGTTTTGTCTTTCAGAACAAGACACTTCCAAACAAGTACCCTCCCATCTGACCACAAAGTACCAGTATTTTCAGGCTTATGACAGACTTAAGGCTTATTTTCCCTCTAGCTTTGCGCAACACAAACACCAACATAAACAATTTCCAGGAACTCTGAAGGAAAATACCACCCAAAACACTCTCTATGAGCATTGTTATTATAGTTAGAATCTGTCTCCCTCAAACACTGAATAATATGACTTGCACCTTATACTAGCCCAAGTATTATACTCCCACCATGTACTATTAAAGTAAGATTCTACAGGAACGATTCAGCAGGAGCAGCTTCAGCAAAATCTGTAGGTATCAAGCATCAACATTAACTGTACACTAACACATGTGATACACATCTTCCATTTAGAAAAGGAAATATTACAATGACCTCAAAAGTGTGAAAATACAGACACCTGAGGTGGAAAAAGAATGGGGGTGAGGTAGGCAACAGAATAAGAGACTAATGTTAACGGTGTCTTCTTCTAAATGTACCAGCATCTCTTCAATGGCTCACACAAAAAATCATTGCAGAATATAACATTAAAAAGACTCATCAAGTTCAGTCGTAATTATGAACCTACAACAGATTGTTTACTGGCATTGTAAAAAAGCTAAATGTAAAATTCCTCACATAACACAGGTCCTGATGTTCATAATTCTGATACAGCCAGTAGCATGAAAATACCAAGGCTGTTTTCCTCTGTAGTTGTGGACAACCAAAAAATCTGTCCAGGAAGAATCAAACAATAACCAATTATATCTCATGCAGAAGCTATACAGAACCAGTTCTGCACTAGTCACCTTTATGCAAGTCTTTGTTTATGCTGTGTTTATGCAATGTTAAGCAGTACATTGCTTAAATAAGCACAGCATTTAATATTCTGTACCTCTGCTTGTAATTACCCAGTAACTAAATTCCCCAGTGTGATTTCTCAGAACTAACACTTCATTCTCTATTAAACTATGCCAAGCTCCAATAAGCTGGTGACTTGGGCTGTTAAAGCCCTCAGCAGTGGCACACACTCAGTCGCTCTGTACGCAGACTGTCGCAGTATGTACCATATCTACTAAGTAATTAGGCTAATGGCACTGCTTTTTAAACACCTAATGAACTAATTTTCACATTTATTTAGGTCTTAGTCTAAATGTTCCTGTTTAACAAAATCCTGTATTTAATTTTCCTGGTCATACAGCTTAACGTTTTGCAAATCATTTATAATACATACTAATGGATTCCTGTGAGTAAGGTCCCTCAACACATTTTCACTTCCAAATTTGACAAAGAGAAACTCAATTTTGGACCAATAAGAATTGGGAATAATGCTCAGGAGAGTCTGACTTGCAGACTTCTGTTAAAATTCCTGTGGCTGAGTGGTTTAAAAATGGCATAGTTTGGAAATCAAGCTGCTACGTGCATGAGATTTGTATGCATAAAATTCAGTTTCCATTTTTTGATGGGAACAAATATTCAGTTTATCTTCTACATTCAATACATGTATACATCTTCCATCAAAAAGTGCCTAGGCCAAATGTAGCTTTTGCCAGAAAAGTTTCTATTTTACTGAATTAGTACTGATAATAGTGCAAAGAAGCAGTCAGAATGGACAGTTACCTTAGGGCTAACATACGTAATACTAATTTACATTCAACAGAACAATACATTTGCTGTTGCAAATAGCCTGGGAGAAAAGTTTAGCCTTCTTTAGTGGCAACCTCCTTGCTAGTATAAGATCACTGATTTTCATCTGAGACAGATTTGGAGCATTCAGTGTTTTATTAGCTCTGCAGTGGAGCATCAGCAACAAGAAGAGTAGGAAAAGAGCAAGCTGCAAACAGTGATTAACTATTACAGACAGATTCCCAAGAAAATGGCCATTCGTTTTGTGAAACATTATATCACATTATGAGAAGCTTTTTTTTATAAGAAAATACACAAGGTTATGCTAAGTCAGTCTCCGCCTTAAATCTTGAATCTTAGTTTTCATTTCCTGACTTACCAATACATCGACATAGAGAACCCAGCAGTGCTCTCTGGGATTAATACAAAGGGATTTCAAGTCTATGCTGTTCTCGCAGCTAAATACTCTGTAGAGTGTATTTGCTATATCTGTGCCAAGTTCTTCTCCTCCCCGGCCTTCCAATTCAGGAGTAGCGCTTGAAGAACTAGATAAAGAAAGAAAAAATACTTTCACTTCTGTGGCAGCCAATACCCAAAGAACATTTCTTAAATATAGAGCATTAAAAATATCTAAGGATTTATTTGTACAAGAATAAGCATCCTATTTGAAAAGAAAGTATTTCCATTTTGCGTAAGAGAATGTCCTGATGCAGATAATATACCGACATTTTGTTACAAATACTGATACCAACTAAATTCCACCACTATCTTCAGTTCCCAAGTTGCAATGCTAAAGTTGGTGAATTCTTTCAGGGATTATTTCTTAAGCACTGTCATCTTCTATCACCTCAACCCTTTAGAAAAACAAAAAAGTGAGAGAAATCTGTGCTAAGTTCAGAACAGCTAACAAGACAGTCTGGTGAGAGTTGAATGTTAAATTATTAAGAGGATGGCTAAGAAGAAGATGTGATTATATGACAAGTAGAATACACATTTCTTTTAAAGTAACATGACTGCCTGACCTTAATTGGTAATTTCTTCACTGAAGGGTACTGTATGCTATCAAGCCCCTTACAGAAAGCAGCTCATTATTCTCAGCAACTGCAGCTTATGGAGAGCTGCAACTAAAGAACATATTTTCCAGAGGAGGTCTGACAAAAGTCTTTGGTCTTCACTTCCCTGATTCCAACATAACTAACTTTATTTATGAGTAGTCATACAAGAAAGTCCTTGGGTACTGATGCCTTGTACACAGCTAAGAACAAATTTCTAACAATAAAAGAAAACAGGCCTACAAAAAAACCCACCAAAAACCCCCACACCGACCCAAACCAACCAATCAAAAAAAACCCCAAACAACAAACCCCAAACCAAACAAAAAATGCCTCTCCTCCAAAGCACAATAAAATAGAGCAGAATTGTCTAGAGATGCATATACTGCAAAGTAGTGAACAAAGATTCTGAACCCAACCTCTGGTTTATAGAGAGAAGAGTATTCTCAAGCAGGGGATCCGTAGCAGCATTAAAAATGTTGTTTTAAAATAAATCAGTCACACCTCTCCCAAATTAATTTCTTATTGCAGAATACAGGAAAGAAAGTGGCTCCATAGAAGCAGTTTCGGTATGTTCCAAATCTGTAATAGTAAAGCCTTGTATTTTCCTGGATGGGTACTTCCCAGTGCCAATTTCTCCTGCATGTTCTGTGTTTATATGATGATGCAAAACTTCAGCTCTTCTAACAGGCACACCAGGAGTACAAAAATACAGCAGAAAACTAAGTCTTGGAATATAATCCCTTCACCTTAAAAAAAAAACACAACTAAAGAGTCACATTATCAAGGCATGACTTAAATCATCAAGTGAACTGTATTAACAATACTGCAGAACCTATAAGCTTATATATAATTACCTACTGTTACTCTTACCTACAAGAATTACCTAATTCTCCCAACTTGTTTTGCGGTTTATGAAAACTCAGAATACAAGGAAGAGCTACTGGATTTTATAGAAGTTATCTGCTGCCATTATAAATAGACAGCACTATACATGCTTAAAAAACAAGGCAAAGCATTACTGCCAGTGAAGCACTGACCTAGGCTTCCAAACTACATTTGCCACACAAATAAGCAGTGCAAATATGACACACAATACTATTCATGGTCACATTAATATCAGACACCAATTTTATACAATAAGATCATATCTGAGTATAACTCAGTGCTGAGTCAGGTCTTCGGGTTGTATTAAACAAGCCCTTATCCATGGAAGCAGCTTTTATGCAAGTTAACTAGATCATTCTGTTTAAACCTTTCTGTTTGAAGCATAGTTATGCAAGCATTATGATCCCTATGATAAGCTGAAAAGAATTATACAAACTTCAATCTATGCCTCATTATTATTTCTAAATACAAAGTTTTATCAAATGTTGTATTTTTTGATTGTAAGTGGACACTTTCTTTGACGGTGAGTAGTAAGAACATAACACTCAACTGGAATATCATGTTTCACTGCATCTTAATTCCATTATTATTTTAACACTTCAGTTCCTTGCAATCAAAGTAAAATAAAGAAGTAAGGTTAGCAGGGTACTATTATAATAACTATATGGTAGATACTGCCACCTAATGTCTACAGATTATTACAGTAATATACTGGGCAAAAATTGAAAAGGGGTTGTCTAACACACTAGAAAGAGAAAATGCAAAAAAACTTGGTTTATGGAGCACAGAAAGAAACTAGCAGTGGCACAGAATTTTTACTCCCAAACAAAATGTAAATTTCAAGACTATCAAGATCATTTTAGTGTTACATTGTCTAACAATCAAGATTCCTCCTAAAGCACAATGATGCTTCTGCCACAGATTTCTGCTCAATTTCAAAACTCTTGCTGTTAGCAGAAAAACCTTTCTCTCACAGTAGTTAAGCACTTTACACCTGTTGCTCAGGCCATTAATATACTGTAATCTACAGGTGGAAACACTTCAACAGATATATTACTAATTCCACAAACAGAATCAAATGCATTCAAGGAATTCAGATGTCTGCTTTTCTTTTTGTTGTTATTTCTTACAGTTTGAAAACGGTAACTCAGAACAGTCCCAAAACTCAAATGTCAGAAAAGCAGACAGCAGTCTTCAACATCAATGGCCAGGATGAATGTCCTCTCCAGTGATGATGGGCAGTACGGATATCACAGAGGACATGGACTTGATCTGTGGTAATTAATTTCCAGGCTCACAAATCAGTGCCCAAAATATCATCCCTTCCAGAGACGCGCATTAAAGTCTATCTCAAAATGTGACCAAATGTGCTTCTCAGATTTTAGGTAAAGGACTCGGAGCAGAAAAAAGAGAAACAGAATTCTGGGGCAGAGAAATATATATCTAATCCAGCAAGTGATTATTTTAATCAGGAAAGGAAACTATGAAAATTTCGGGAAATAAGCAATTTAAGATAGTAATCACTGCACTCTGAGTTTTTATTATTAGTTTCAACAACATAAAAGCCAAGTAGAACACAGAAGAACTTCACCGGGAGATGCAGGGTATCGGACTATGTGCAGTTACTACCACCCAGTGGCAGCCTGCAAAAGCATCAGAGTACTGACAGCAGCTCATTTCCCTTTACAGAGAACAAGCTGCCTCCACTTCACATTTTGTCTTGGATCTTTCTGGAGGCTAGAGGACACTTTCTCTGTTCACAAGCATGTGAGAAGTTAATACACTTCTCTAAAGTTTAGGCTTTTGGTCTGTGTTGTCACAGAAATTAACAATTCCCTATTTCTAGAACTGACAAAATCCATCTTGCACAATATTGCTGCACATCTCCCATCTTATGAAGCAGAGATTAGCAGTTAGAAAATACAACCTAACGTTAACCTAATGAACTGAAGTTTTTCTAACATTTATTTACATATGCAAGAAGTGTCACAGAATTGCCACATGTGCACAGCCCACTTGTTTAAGTATGAAAACATTCCTGCTGCCACTGGACTTTCTTCATATAGAAACCATTGGAAAAAAACCTCCATGTACTGTTTAGGATATTTCAAGCATGCGTTTCATAAAGCAGTCAGGCTCAGATCCCCTGTAATAGCAGGACCACATCCAAGATCATCTTCCCACCTCATATTTTTTGAATAGTAATTGTAGACAAACTACTAATTCGCAGGTGAGTCCTTTCCTCTACAATGCACAAGGTTTCCACAGTTAACTAGCACATGAGGTACAGAGGCAGTCTTAGATAAGGCCATATAATGTGACACACAAATGTTAAGGCAGATACAGCCAGTTAGGTTAGCAAGATCACCAGATATACATTTACTTAGTAGCTCTCATACCTTAGCTTACCAATGGTATATTGGTTTAATGTCAGAGTAGCAACATTTTTGGTTTATAATAAAAATAAAAAGAAATGTCACATGCAAAACAGCTAACTTGACAGTGCCAAGGCTCTGATGAGAGGTTCCCAAAACACATTACTTCATAAAGGAGAGTTTTAGGAAGTCTGCATGACATGGATACCGTAGTCGCAGACCACAGACAGTCTAGAATAACATTGAGATGTCACTATGCTATCTCAGAGCAACCCGAAAGTAAAGAGTTCTCAGTTTTCTTCTAGCTTCCTTCATAATTCGAGCAGTATGAAGACTGTAAGGATAAACAATAGTGCACTTGTAGCAAAAAGCAAGGAACATGATTAAAACAAATACCATTTTAGTTAATGAAGCACAGATTCTCTGATAAATGCATAACTAAATTTTCTAATTAGCTTTTGCATCTGACGTTCACACTGGAGATTTTCTTTTTTTTAAACAAACGAATTTGAACAAAACACACTTCAAACTTTTTCCACTGCTTTATCAGACAAAGCAAGCAAACCTTTAAGTACAGTTAAAGAACAGTCAATTCTTTTCTTCTGGAATACTTACTTTTTTTGAAAGAGATTTTCTCTGTCACTGTAAAAGCAACAGCTGACATTGTAGTCATGAAGTCATGTTAAATGCATGTGTCATTGGACCATTACTCTTTCCCAGCTGCAGTGATGTTATGCAGTTTGGGATTGCTTTCATTCTTTAAATCCTATTGATTTGCTTATTTTGGGTCGGCAAAATCAGCATAAAGTTTCTGAACATTCACTGCTATAGGAACAGTAAAATAACTTTCTTCTCTTACTCAGACTCTTACCGGAGGTTAGTGGAATGAAGGTATAAACTTCTGAAGAATGGCAAGATCTGATTAGTCATTTATTCCAAATATTAGATCTATTTCATTCTTTTCTGACATACTAACCAGTCAACAAAGAATTCCAGGTATCCTTCATCGGGTTTCTCTAACTTTGGTGTCCCCATTTCAGCTTTTATGCCTACCAAGACATCAGTGTCTCCCTGTTAAAACAGAAACACATCACACAACTGAAATTATAGTTACAGAACTACTTGTTTAATTTAAATGTCTACAGTAAGCTGACATTTCTACCTTTCAGTTATCTGATTGTTCTATCAGAGTGAACTTAAAATAACATTAAATTTTTTAAAGAAGGAAAGGCTTTAGAAGGACAATATTAAGCTTAAGAAGATTCTTCAAATAATTACCATACATATTAGCTTTCTCTAGGTTAAAAAGACACTTAATATCCAGGACTACTTCTGTCATTTTGGTTCTGGAAACATCTCTTACTGCAGAACCACTATAATACTGCACATGCCAAAAGTAATTTCACTTCACTCTGAAGTAGCAGAATTATTTTTTCCCAGGGATTAGGCACAATAGTGATTGCAGTTTTTGAGATTAAATGTTAGATCAACTCAAACTAAAGGCTGTCCAGGTACTTCATGGTAAATCCAGCCCTGCTTAATTTTTTTTCATCATCGTGATAATAGTTAAGCCAGCCAAAAAGCATTATATATGCTATAATTATTTCCTTAAACATAGTTTCAGTTACTGCTATGCACACACACAAATAACCTCAGCTTATCTTAAAACCAGTCATATAAACTAGAAACTTCATTAGCGAGGCACACGGTCCCTAAGAAATTTACCTACCAGCTTTACTCTTGCAGATCCGCTTGTGTTTGATACAACATCTGTTTCTACTTCTGCACATCTGTAGTCTTCACAGCCACGACCATCCACACGAAGATCCTCCTAAGTATGACATCAATATATTGTGCTTAAGGGAATCAGTAGTGAAAACTTTTAAAAAATAATATATCTATATATCTATATCTATCTATATCTATAGATATATATATATCTGTGACTTGAAACTTTCCTTCTCCTATACCAAACACAGCAGTAAAACCAACATGAAAGCATCAGCTCATGGTTTCATCACGGGCTTTTACTTAAGACTACATCAGGCCTTTCCTGGGATGCGCAAGTTCTGTACTTTTATAGCAGTAATTAGGACCATGCAGGAAAAAAAACCCACTGGCCTCCCAAATGTTTTCATCTGTATTTCAAAAACGGGTATTGTGCATCCTCTGATACTATACACTCGCCTCCACAGAAATAGGTTGTTTTTCAGCAAAATTCGGTAAAAATACAGTCCTTGTTTCACCGGCGTTTCTCCCCCCACATCCTTCACTCTTCCTCCTTTGTCCACTCACGTTCCTTTGCTACGTGGCAGGCTAAAACTCTATGAAACGGCAAAAACTTGAGAAAGAGCCAGGGAAGATGTGGAAAGAGCAAAGAAAGAGAGGTAAAGTGGGACAGAAGTGAAAGAAAACAAATCCACGTTCTGCTCTCAGCCAGCTTCCCGTTCTGATGCTCAGCGTGCTCCGACGATTACTACCCCAGAGATTCGCGTCCAGACACCACGATGGAGGGCTCCCTGCCTCCCTCCTCCCCAGCCTACCCTGTAACTCGCCCCCTCCCGCTCCGGTACCTGCACGCCGTGCACGATGTAGAGCTTCTCCGCCTCGCTCAGCACCACGGACGCCATTCCTGCCGCCGCCTCCGGACCGCAGCTGCGCAGTGCCCCTCCTGCCTCCCTGCTTCCCTTCCTTCCTTCCGCCCGTCCGCGTCGGGAAAGCTGCCGGCTGTCCACAGCTGCTGTCCCGCTCGCCCGCCCAGCCGGCACCGGCAGCGGCACCGGCACCTCGCATTGGGTTGGAAGGGACCTCTGGAGATCACCCAGTCCAACCCCCGTGCCAAGGCAGGGTCACCTCGAGCAGGTGACACGGGGACGCGTCCAGGTGGGTTTGGAATGTCTCCGCGACCTCCCTGGTCAGCCTGTTCGAGTGCTCTGCCACTCTCAATGGAAAGAAGTTCTTCCTCATGTTGATGTGAAACTTGTGTTTTAGTTTATGGCCATTGCTCCTCGTCCCCTCCAAGAAAGCGAACCCTCATGTTAAAGCAAACAGGCAGCGCCTCCCCGCTGCCCTCTGCCAAAAGCTCCTGAAGGAAGCTGTGGAAATGCCCAAGTGTTCCGGAAGGTATAGCGTACTGATAAATTTCGCATTTCCTCATTTTCCTGGTAGAGTTTTCACCTCGGAAGGGTCCGAGCAAGGTGTGGTGTGCAGGGAAGGTTGGTGCAGGAGCAGGGAAGAAATCAGATGCTCTCGGTTAGGAGAGTGCTGTTGGTCCTGTGCTAGATATCCCTGGGAAAGTGGTGTGGGAAATGTAATTAAAAACTCACATTATATATTAAAACAGTAATGAAGGGTTGAGGTTTTTTGGACAGCCTTAATTGAAAGCTTCATAACAGTCATTAGTGTAAGTTTTACACCTTTTTGCACAGCTCCTGTGTATAATTTTGAGAGTATTTTACAGGTTGCTATGTGACTTCATGCTGATGTTTGCTTGGATGAGAATGACCCATGGCTCCCAAGTACTACACATCACACTGCCACAGTCTATCCAGCTCTCCACAACTCCCTGTTCAATCAAGTGTACAGAGCATTCCTGGCTGTGCCTACTTGAGCAGGCGGAATGATGCAGTAGAAACAAACCTCAAGAGCAAGGGATGTTTTGGAGATTTTAGCTTGGGTTAGCTCTGATCAGGTTCCATTGGCAGGCTGCATATCTGTTAACAGTCAAAGCAGAGCAGATGCATTTCTGGGGCGCTTCCCATGGCTTACATGCATCCAAAAGGAGTCGAGTTTCTGCACACTAGGGTTGTTGCATGGGGATTGCTTACTGTTTCTCAGTGGGGAGAGCCAGTGGTGGAGCTTGGCAGAGCTGGGAGCTGAGGCTTGGGTAGCTTGTCCTCCCTGCTCACCCTGGGGATGTGAGCAGGGCCAGACCCCCTTCCTGGGCCAGGAGAGTGCCAGACAAAGGCAGTGACCATGCGTGAAAGGGACCTGGTTTGTTATGTTCTCTCTAAATAGCATCTGCCAGTGCTGCTGTCCAGCACAGATGGACCCTGTGATTGACCCATAGTGTGATACTTGTGGCCTCACATTCCTCAGTGTGAAACAAACAAGAAGTAAGATGTTAGAAATTCCCTTGTAAATGTGAATTCCTGATCTGAAACACACTGTTAATGCAGACACACACAATGATTTCCACTGAGAGCCCAGGGAGATGACATTCTGACTCCTAGTTCTGCCTATCTCATGGCTTAGCCCACAGCCGCTCACAGTCCTAACTGCAAGGAAAAAATTACTTGTTAGTTTTTTTCCCCCTCTGCCATCCCAGCCTGGACTCTACCTAATGTTAGTCAAATTCTTGCATAATCCAGAGACTCAGCTAGCAAATCTTGTTCACATGCAGACAGCATTTTTCCAAAGGCTGGAAGAGCCCAGGTTTGGCTCGTTTTTTAGGGAGGGCAGAAGGCATCCTCTTGCTCTAAAGAGCATTTATTTCTGAGAGCATTCAAATTCCAACTCAAGGCTGTAGTGAAGGCTACCAGACAAAAAAGAATGCCACTAGTTTCTTGGTTTTGTATTGTTGTTTTGTTTATTTTTTTTTAACAAAGGCAAAGCAATGTCTTTTCCTCTAGCCTCATTATAGTAAATGAATGACATGAGTTGGCTAAAATAAAAGCCAGCCTGAGAGAACCCCCTGGAATGTGAAGATTCACACTATGTGATTAATGCCTGGTGAGGCCACAAATACTGAAAGCAGCCACTGAACGTGCAGAGTGTCAAGCAAACTCAACCCCTGCTCACGCTCCAAACATGACACCTGCAGCAGCATGCTCTGTCACAGAATCATAGAATGGGTAAGGTTGGAAGGGACCACTGTGCATCATCTGGTTCAACCTTCCTGCTTAAGCAAGGAACACATGGCACAGGATGGTTCTTGAATATCTCCAATGAGGGAGATCAACAACCTCTCTGACAACCTGTTCCAGTGCACAGTCACTCCCACAGTAAAGAAGTTTTTCCTCATATTCCGAGGGAACTTCTATGCATCAGTTTGTGCCCATTGCCTCTCATCCTATTGCTTGGTACTACCAAGAAGAGCCTGGCTCCATCTTCTTGGCACCCTTCCTTTAGGTATTTACACAAATTAATGAGGTCCCCTCTCAGTTGTCTCAGCCAGCAGTGTGCCCAGGTGCCCAAGAAGGCCAATGGCATCCTGGCCTGTATCAGGAACAGTGTGGCCGACAGGTCCAGGGAAGTGATTCTGCCCCTGTACTCAGCCCTGGTGGGGCCACACGTTGAGTACTGTGTTCAGTTCTGGGCCCCTCAGTTCAGGAAGGATATTGAGGTGCTGGAGCAGGTCCAGAGAAGAGCAACGATGCTGGTGAAGGGACTTGAACACAAGTCCTATGAGGAGAGGCTGAGGGAGCTGGGGTTGTTCAGCCTGGAAAAGAGGAGGCTCGGGGGAGACCTCGTCACTCTCTACAACTCCCTGAAAGGAGGTTGAAGCCAGGTGGGGGTTGGTCTCTTCTCCCAGGCAGCTATCAGTAAGACAAGAGGGGAGGGTCTTAAGCTTTGCCAGGGGAGGTTTAGGTTGGATATTAGGGAGAAATTCTTTACAGATGGGGTAATCAGGCACTGGAATGGGCTGCCCAGGGAAGTGGTGGATTCTTAGTCCCTGGAGGTTTTTAAGATGAGACTGAATGTGGCACTTAGTGCCAGGGTCTCGTAACCATGGTGGTAGTGGATCAAGGGTTGGACTTAATGATCTCAGAGGTCCTTTCCAACCTGGCTAATTCTATGATTCTGTGATTCTTCTCGAGGCCAAACAGGCTCAATTCCCTCAGCCCTTCCTCAGAGACATGGTCCAGTCCCCCAGTCATCCTCACTGCCTTCCACTGCACTCACTCCTTCTTGGGTGCTGAAGGATTTTGGATACCTGCAAACCGAAACCACCCTGAACCTGGCTGGGGGCTCAGCGGTGCGCAGTGAGGCAGAACCATCTGGTCCCCTGTAAAAACAAAAAAGTGGTAGGGCTTTTTCCCTCACAAAACCCTCACGCCCGAGACGCGCCCATGGCACAAGCGCGCCCCAGCGGCGCCCGGTGCCGGTGCCCGCCCGTGGGTCGGCCAGGGCAGGGCAGGGCAGGGCAGGGTGTGCTCTGCCTCCCGCCGCCGCCGTTCACTTCCTGGTTCCTCCCCGCGGCCGCTCCACCTCCTTCCTCGCCGAGCCCGCGTAAGGGGCGGCGGAAGGGGGGGTGCCGTTCCGTGCCGTGCCGCTGCCGGCGCGGGGGCGGCGGCGGGGCGCGCCGGACCCGCGGCGGCGGCGGCGGCCAGTGGGGTAGGTGGGTGCGACTGACAACGCGGGGCGGGGGGGGGCGCCGGGCAGGTGTGTGCGCCGGCGGAGTGGGGCGGGAGTGGGAGGCGGGAGCGAGAGGCGGGAGCGAGAGCCGGGGACGGGAGCGGGCCGCCGGAGCTGAGCGGCGCGGCCATCCCGCCGCCGCCTGCGCCGCGCCACCAGCTGCCCCCTGGCCCTGCCGCTGTCCCCGCTGTCCGCGCAGCCCCCCGGCCGTGCGGGAACCGCAGGATGGCCCCGCCGCCCGGGGGCCGAGCGGTGCCCGCATCCCTCCGCGGGGCCCCCGGCAAGGGCTGGCGGCGGGTCGTGTCCAGCGGCGGCGTCTCCAGGAGCTTCTGGCATCGGTCGGGAAACGGGAGGTGGGCTCCCGCTCTCCCCTCGCCGCCGTCCAGTACTGGGCTTTAAATACTGCGAGGCTAAACACGTTAAAATAATACCGGGCTAAATACGTGGTTTAGGTCTGCTCCGCGGCCTTTCGGAGCAGCGTTGAGTCCCCTCGGCAGGAAATTTAAACTCGAAGTCTCCAGCGTTTTCGTCGGGGTCCTGTGACTTGTTAATGGATTGCAGTGGTGGAACGGGGTCCTGTGATCTGTGCGTGCGTTTCAGCGATGGGACGTGTCCAGCGAACAGCTGGACAGCGAGCGGAGCTCACCCACTCGCTTTGGAAGTGGCCGCGGTCACCCGGCGTGTGACTGCACCTGTCCGATGGGACCATCGGCCGGGTGTGACCTCGGCATCGGGAGTAATCTGTGTTGAAACCATGGCGCTGCACTGTTGAGGGTTTAGTTGAAGTGGATGGTGAGCTACATGGCAATAGGAAGCGATCCGGACTTGTTTAGAACAGCAGCTTCTAAGTATTACTGGAGTAGTTCTGTAAAGTAATTTTTAAGAAGCAAGAGTTCATGATGGATCATTAGAAAACAGTCTTCAAGAAAACAGGCCTTGGGGAGGAGGAGGCAGCAATCTGGTCCTTGGTAGGCTCTCCCGCTGCCTGTGTGCCACTGAGGGACACAGGATGGACACAAAACTTGTTTGGGTTTCTTTCCTTTGATCCTAATTTAGAAAAGATAAATTGTGTTTTTCGGTGTGCAAAAGAGTGATTTTTTGCCGGATTCTTGACACGGCAGAGGTGTGCAATGTCAGATCTGTAAGGAAGGAACCCAAATTCGGATGGTTGTTCTGATACAGTGGATTGTTCTGATACTGACTGGCGGGTTGCAATGAGTAACTGCATTGGGTGTCTGGTGGTGTAGATAGCAAGGCGTTAGTGAGTACCATGTTTTTCTTTGCTTAATGAAAGCAACAAATAAGTCTTTTGTGCAGTGTTACAGGCATTTTGGTGATAAGAGT